AATTCTTTGAGTTATAAGTTCTGAGTTAATAGCTTAACTAGATCTCTTTCTTTAAAATAGAATAGCTTTCTGTGCTTATTATAGTATTTCTTTTATTTTTCTATAGTTATTTGCTATATCTTTTGTAGCTATTCTCTTATTTCTCTAAGTTTCTTAATTCTATTCTATATTGCTGGGACTTCTCGCTGCTGAGAATTAGTCTTAATTCTGATATAAAAATCTGGTGAAAAACTATAAAAAATATTATAAAATAATTAGTCTGTAATTATATTATCTATATTATTACAGGCGAATTAAGTACTTGAAAGAATTAATAATCAGTTAGTATTATACTGACTGGAGTAGTATCAAAGATAGTATTCAAGTATTTGATTTATCTGTTCTATTTAATTATTAATTTAAGAGTAAAACACAGTTAAAAGCTTCAAGATTATATAACTATTATAAACTAAATTTAATTAGAATTTACTAATAAAAATTAATTCTTAATTAGATATAATTCTATTTGGGGATCCGAAGATTAATTTAATCTATTTATAAAATAGTTTAACAAGATCTGGAGCAGTTATTATAAACAAAATAGCAAAGAAAAGATAATATTTTAAAAATTAATTAATAATAACTAGAATAGCATCAACAGTCTTTTTATATTAAATAATAAAAGGCAGCCCTGTAATAAAATTTATTGCTAATTTAGTAAAGAAATATAATAAAATTAATAATAATTCAAGATTATTATATAATTAATACTTTGAAGCAGTGGTTTCTTAATATATTAAATAAGTTTGGATATATTTAACTATATTATACTATAATTTATTTCAGTAAAACTTTCTGCGTAGTAATACTTCTGTTCGGGTCTTTCCAAAGTATCCCGCTAATAAATTATTATAATATAGCTTAATAAGTGTCTGATATAGTATCTCAGAAGAGAGGATATAATATTAATCTTTAAAATAAATATAATCAGTTATTTTAATAATCTAATACTTTTAATCCAATTACTTTTGTTGAACAGTAGTTTTTCATCATTATATCTTTAGATTATTATTCTACAAACACAAAATCATCTCTTAAAATTTGGAATTATATATATCCAAGTACAAAACTTCCGCGGCACACACTCGTGACGCTGTAGATTAAGAAATAAATCTCTCTTAAGATAAATTCTTTCAAGCAGCCTAGTCAGCTATCTCTATACCGGCTCGACTATTAAGATTCTTTAAGCTTAATATAATACAGATATCAAACCCAGAGTAATCCTGTGTATCTTAAGATTTAAACTAAGTTTTTTCTTTAATAAGATTTCTTATTATCAGAAACAATACGCCTATAAATCATACTTAAATTAAAATCAATAATTCTTCTTGAGAAGCAGATTTTACTTAAGATTCAGAAAATATTCTGAAGAGTTTATCTGCTGGATTTAATTTCTCTATTCTATATTTAATAATAAAATTATAGAGAATTAGACTTATAAGTCATCAAGCTTGCCTTTTATTAACCCGGGTTTAATATATAAAAGATTGCAAGTTCAAATAATCTGATAGAATCTTAATTATTTAGAAAGCACCTTCTAAATATTATCGCTATTATTTAAAAGAGTAAATAATAGTAAATAGCTCTTGATCTAAAGTATTATAATTTAGCTCGGCATCGGAGAACTTACAGAATCAGAATACAATTAAATAAAATATATTCTTAATATCAGATTAAGATAGAATATCACTTATCTCTTCTTTTAATATATCAGTTTCTAAACAGCGGGGTTTTATAGAATCAAAATATATTAATAAAGATACTTATTAAAAAACAATAATAAGACAGCGGAAAGCAGTCTATTTAATTAAGATTAGATAAATCTTTCCTGGCTTCCGCCTATTAATTATTTTATAAAATAAAAAAATAAGAGGCAAGACAATATAAGAATAATCTTAAATAAATTATTAATAAAAGTTGCAGAATCCAAGAAAAATCTAAATATTATAATAACTTTCAGAAATTAGTTATAAAATAATATTATTTATCTGTCGAAAATTTATAAATACTCTGTCAGAGTCGATAATATACCCCAGAAATTTAACTTAGAATTAATAAAATAAATATTTTAATAATTTTATATAGAGCTGAGCTTCTCGAAGCCTCTTTAAAACTTAATAAATATACTTTATATAAGATTTCTTATCTAATAAAAAGATAAGAATATCATTCAGATACACTATATAAAAATTATCGAGAAGTTTTTAAAGCACAGTATACATATAATTTTGGAAAGTTGCTGAAGTATTAGTCAATCTAAATAGTATAATTATATATTCAAAGTAATTATATCAGATACAAAACACTGTCTTCTATTTATTATCTTTCTTAATACAGATTTAATAGTACGTATTCTTGATATTAATCTTTAAAAAGTAGATACTTCCCGAAACCCTGTTAAGAATCTCCGAAATAAGAGATAAGAAATAATAATTCTTAATAAAAATCTTATTAAGATTCCTATAGTCTATACAAAGATATAAACTATTATCTTTCTTAGATATAAAAAAAATAAAGACTCCAGCAGGGCTCTTTAAAAATCAAATTTAGTCTAGTTTCAGATTCTCTTTAATATATTCTTATAGAATCTTAAGTTCAGCTTCGAATAAGAAATATATTAGACTATAAGAAAGTATTTTATTAAATTTAATATTAATAGTATAATCCGCAGGGCCATAAGAAGATAGTTATTAAAAGAAATCTATAAAAAATATATCTTAAAACTGCTTAAGTTCAACAGAAATTATCTCAAGATTTAATAATAAATCACAAGATTCTTTTTCTGATAGTCAGATATCTTCAGAAAGCTTAATAATAATATATACTCTTACTAAGTTTCAAGTTACTTTAATAAATTAAGTAACAGAAAGCAGTAAAATAGATAGTATATTAAATTATTACTGACGGTTTTATACTGATAAAATAATATATAAATTATAAAATATAATTATTAAAAATAGTACAGAACTGTCTTTCAGTCAGAGATCTTAGTTAATTTTTATATAATACTATTCAAAAATACAGATATCTTTTTATAAATTAATAGTAATAATAAAGACTTTCTATATATTATAGATAGAAGTAATAATTTAATTAATAGCTTTAATCTTTGATACAGTAACCGGGATATATTGAAGATTATAGACTTTAATAAACTAATAACTAATAATATCTACTTCGACGCAGCTATCCAGATCCGCAAAGATTTCAAGACTATTTTGAATATAGATAAAAATATAAAAACAATATATAGTCTCTACTATAAATAAAGAAGTTAAAATTATAAGATCTATTCTAACTTCTCTACTTTTCTCTCTAAATTTAATAAGAATTAATAGATTCTAGCAGATTGAATTCTTTTGTCTTTGGTAAGATATTAGTTTATAAGATATTAGATACTTTTATATATAAAGTATTATAATTAATTATTATTCTTTCTAATAAGATTTTTTCTGCGATTCGGGACATCTTCCTTAATAATTTTATTAATAATTTCTTAAAAGCGCTTGCGTGGCTTATAATCACTGAATTAGTTATTATTTTATTTATATTTTTCTCTATTTTCCCACAGTTTATAATAGTAAATAGTAATAGCTATTATTTTATCCCGCTTCTCTAATAAATAAGAAATATACTCTTGAATATAATAATTTAAATCTAATAATAGCTTAGTAAAATAAAATAAAACTCTTTTCTTTTCTGCTTGACAAGGAAAGTATTACTTCAAGATATTAAGATAAGTATAGAACTCTCGCAGATTCTGGCTATATTATTAATAAGCCTGTTTAAGTTAAGTTATAATATCTAATTAAAAAGTAGTAGTATTTTAAATCAGTATAAGAATTCAATCTTTAAATCAAGACTATAATTTCTTAAGAAATTGTCTCTCTTCCGGATTTTTATTATTCACAAAACAGTATTATCTCTGCCTATATACTGGATCTATATAGTTAATAATAGTAAGAATCTTATATTTCTCTGATAAATATTTCTTAAATATATCTCTGAATATATATTTTAAATTAATAATTTATTTTTAATATTTTTAGAGATTAAAGTTCAGGACAAAGTAAGAAATATCTTTAAACTTAATCTCTCTCTTATTTTTTTCTAATTCAGAAGAGAATTAATAGTATCTTAAAAAGATTTTACTTAGGGAGTTATTTCTTTAAAGATAAGCTATTCTTCGCTGTAAGTTGATAGCTTGTTTTAATTAATAAATATAATCTTTTAGCTGTTGAATCTCTTTAATAGTAGAAACAATATTCGGCAAGAATTCTAGATTAATTTAATTACTGAGTGCTTCTATTTCTTCACTATCTTTAATAAGTAGCATCTTTCTTAGATAATCAAAAAGAGAAGAATCAGAATATAATAAAATCTACTTGTTAGAATAAAAAGCCTGTCAACTAGATAAGAAATTAATTATAAAATACTGTGTATTTGTTTAATAATAACAAAAATAGCCTATATTCACAAGATAGACTGATTCTTAAAGAATCAGTAGCTTCTTACAGAGAGATTAATATTTTATAAATACCGAAGAGATATAAAATCACTATTAATAATCTCACAACTCTCACAATCACTATAACACATCATCCCGATAACACGACTCTCACAACCACTATAATATATCATCCTGATGATCTTTATCCCGATAGCTGGTTTATTCTATCACATTTATATCTTATTTAAAAGCTCTATAACTAAAATTCTAATATAATATTATTTTTAAATATTTTTAATAATAATTATAAATAAGGAGTTATAAATATCTGACTTCTGATTAAAGATATTATTATTATTATTCCTAATTTTTTTAATATTCTTAAATATAACTTTTCTTTTCAAAGAATCTATAAAAATTAAATACCACTGCGGCGGCATCAACCGGCAGAATGCCAGTATCAACACCCGCTGTAACGAAACAACCCACAGCTACACGGAAGTGCCATCACGTGATATATTCCTGGACAAGAGCAATGAGATCAGCCCAATACAAACTAAAAACATATACAGTTTATTTGGCCATCAAACTTACTACAGAGTGGTGAAGACAGATGACTCCTATTCTCAACACCTGTGATATCAACGGGACGCACATTTGTAGCAGCGGTCCAAAGGAAAGACAATCAACAGAATGGACAATACAATTCCAGTATCGCGCGGGAATGTCAACCCAGTTGTGTTTTTCGACATAGCATTAGGAGGTACGTCTAGCAAAATCTGGAATATTTTCAACTAGAGGTGAACTGTGAGCACTATTCACATCGAGTGGCATTATCAACGAGCAAGGTTCTATTTAGGATGCTTTCAGATGAAGAAAGTGCAATGTTATCAGGATTTAGATGTTGAGATATTAGCTGAACTGGTTATTTCTATATCAGGCGAGCCTCTTGGGCGTATTAAAATGGAGCTCTTTGCCAATACTACGCCTCGAACAGCAGAAAACTTCCGCCAATTCTGCACAGGGGAAAGTAGAAATGCTCAAGGACGGCCACAAGGCTACAAAAACAGCAAGTTCCATAGAGTGGTAGGGGCTTTTTTTTTTACTTGTTGGGTTGTGTATCTGAAAATACTAATTCTTATCATTGCATTGAAAGATTAAAGATTTCATGATACAGGGTGGTGATTTTGTCAATGGTGATGGTACAGGCTCGTGTACCATCTATGGTACGTCGCGATTTGCAGACGAGAATTTCACTCTAAACCATGATAATCCCGGTCTGTTGAGCATGGCAGTAAGTCAAATTCTTCGATAGTGCCTCCCGAGTGTTCTATTTATGACGAAATCATCCAGAACGCTGGTCCAAACACAAATGGTAGCCAATTCTTCATTACAACAACGCCAACCCCGTTTCTAAACGGGAAGCATGTGGTTTTTGGCCAAGTAGTACAGGGCATGGACATCGTGAAGATGATTGAGAATACTCGAACAACTAGGGATAAGCCCAACCAAGACGTCGTGATTATACAATGTGGGGAAATGTGATAAGAATGAATTTGTCATGAAAAATTGAGAATTATCTCCACTCCCCCAAAACAATTCAGAAAGGGGAAATAACCAATGAATCGATCAGTCGAAAAGCAAGATGTGTTTTTAGTGGTATTTAGATCATGTGACGTAGGAGTAGTGTTGCCCAACCAGGAAATAAAACTAAGGGAGCCCCCCCCAAGACACCAGCAGTCTATAGCTTAAACCTAGCTAGGTATTCGGATGCCAGGATGATGGCTTCGTCCACTTTCTCGGGGTTTACACCGTTGCCGACAGAAGTAGAGCCTTTACCTCCGGCCTTTCCGCCGACAGCACTGGAGACTATGGCAGCCCATTCGCTAGCCGATGCACCTTGTTCGCTTGGAGACTACGAGAAAAAAAGAAATTAATGTCATGATGACAAAAGGATTCGGAAACAGGTGGACTCACATTTGCGACATAACAGCCATGGGCAACACGACCCTGCTCGGGACTTGCGGCCAAAACGTATACGGATTTGTCCGGCAACTTTGACTTGACGTAATTGAGGGATTCACTGATGGCCTTTGAATTCGCAGAAATTGGGAGTTTAGCAACGAGCCAGGGTCTATCTTGATCCTCTGACTCTTGGAAGTAGTTAATTATAGTCTCGAGGGCAACCTTCGACTCAAGCTTTTGCTGCGCCTTCTGCCCGTCAATAACCTCCTTATTGATACGGGCGAAGCGTTCGCGGAAGTTCGACTTCTGAACCGCGGAGATCGAAAGCTGGTTGAGTTCAACTTGAATCTGCTTTGCTTCCTTCTCTTTTTCCAGTCCTAAAGGCAATGCTTCTAGACGATTTAGCCGTTTCTCAAACTCTCCTGCTAGACGTTGCACTCCATGGGCATCTTCTCCAGTGACAGCAATGATTCTGCGAATTCCCTTTGCAATGCCACTCTCTTCCAGTATGACGAGATCCTTAATATCTCCAGTTTTCTGGACGTGAGTGCCACCACAGAACTCAATGCTGACCTCTTTCCAGCGAGGGTCTTTCACATTTCCCAATATTTCGCTGAGCTCCACACCAACAGAGACGACACGCACTGGGTCAGGGTAGGTCTCCCCAAAAACAGCCCGGACTCCGGAGATTTCTCGAGCAGTGGTAAGAGGAATCTCCTCGGAGTACACAGCGCAGTTCTGTCGAATGTACTCTGTCGATATTTCCTCAATGCGGGCCAAATCACCATCTGAGATAGCAGATTTGTGAGAGAAATCGAATCGAAGTTTTTCAGCCGCGACGAGAGAGCCCTTCTGTTCCACCCCTTCTCCGAGGACTGACTTGAGCGCGAAATTTAGAATGTGGGTTCCTGTGTGGTTATTCCTAATCGGCCACCGCCGAAGCTCATCGTATTCGCAGATGACAGTGTCACCAACTGCCAAAGATCCGTACTTCATAAACCCGGTGTGTAGGACATAACCAGCATAAAGCTGAACATTGTCAACCTCGAGCTCTGCTAGTCCATCAATGACAATTCTGCCGGTGTCATTCTCCTGCCCACCCTGTTCGGCGTAGAAGTTTGTTCGGTCGAGTATAATTCCTAGTTGCTCGCCTTCAGGAACCTCGTTTGTGGACGAAAAGAATGCTTTGCCCTTGTATATGGCCTTGACCTGTGCATTAATATTGCCCTTTCCGAACTTGGCAGTATCATCAGTCTTGAGAACATCAGCCATGGCTTCTAACCTCCCCAGGTCATGAACATCCAGCTTGACTGTCTCCGCAGCAGACTTTTTTTGACCCTTGCTTGCTTCCTTGGCCCGTAAACGCGCCTCCTCAAACTCGCGGTCATCAATACGAAGTTCGCGTTCCTCTGCCATGATGCGTGTGAGGTCGACAGGGAAACCAAAAGTGTCATACAGTCTCCAAACGTCGGCACCATGGAGTTTATCATCTCCCTTTGTCTTCGCCTGCTGAGCATAGTGTTCGAACTGCCTCTCACCGCGATCCAATGTCTTCGAAAATGACATTTCTTCCTCGTCAAGAATTTCCATCACATCGAGCTGCTTTTTTCTCAACTCCGGAAACATATCGCCAAGTTGATCAACAACCGTGGGGACTATCTTCGAGAAGAAGTTGCCAATCTCAACCTGGAAGTACTTTCTGGCATAACGAGCACCCCTACGCAGAACACGACGAACAACATAACCACGCCCGTCGTTATTGGGCACAGCACCGTCCGAAATAGCAAACATTAGTGTCCGAACATGGTCCGCAATGACACGATAAGCAGTGTCAATGCCATCAGCGTCCTCAATACCAAAACATCCACGGTATTCCCTAGCTCCTGTCACATTTTGGATAGTCCGGAATATCGGTGTGAAGACATCGGTGTCGTAATTTGACGACTTGTCCTGCAAGATTGAAACCAACCTTTCAAATCCCATTCCAGTATCAACGTGCTTGTTAGGCAAAGGCCGCAAAGACCGATCAGCCTCACGATTGTATTGAATAAAGACGTTGTTCCAAATTTCTAGAACGTTGGGGTCATCTTGGTTGACTAAATAGGCCGCGTTACGGCCACCAAGCCTGTCATAATGGACTTCACTGCAAGGACCACATGGTCCTTGGTCACCCATCTCCCAGAAATTGTCTTTCATGTTTCCGGGGAGAATGTGGTCTTCCGGGACGCCTACAGCCTTCCAAAGCTCCTTTGCCTCGTAATCAGGCTCAAGGCCACCATCTTTGTTCCCTTCGAAATAGGTGACATAAAGACGTTGTGGATCTAGGCCGTAGACTTTGGTCAACAATTCCCAGGAATAACGAATAGCATCGTCTTTGAAATAATCTCCGAAACTCCAATTACCAAGCATCTCAAAGAAGGTCTGTGACAAAGCATGGCGATTAGCATTACATTATAGAAAAAAAAAACCAAGCAGATCGACTCACATGATGGTAACTGTCTTTTCCCACGTCATCGAGGTCCTGGGTCCATCAGCGTATTTCATCTAGTATTGACTTACTTCCCCATTATTCCTTTCTCAGGGGAAATGGAGAAAGCACTCACATTGTGTTTGCCACCTGCACGAATGCACTGTAAGCTATGTTAGCGAAATGTAAGCCAAGAAGTGATCATATTGTAACCTTTTGGGAGTTCACTGCACTCTTCAAATTTGCAAAATCGGAATTAGGATCCACGGTGCCCAAAAAAATTGACTTGAACTGATTCATTCCAGCATTGGTAAAGAGCAATGTTGGGTCAGAGTGAGGCACAACGGGCGATGAGGCAACTATAGATTGAATCATGAATCAGCTTTGGACTTGAAAAACCGCCCTGTTAGAGATCTGCGAACCAAAAGTGTGGCCATTTTGCTTGAAATATTGAAGAAATGTTTCTCGAACTTGTTTGGAATTCCAATCCATTTTGTGCTGGTTCTCTGAAGCCATATTGAATGGTCTTGTGAGGGTTCTTGTTCGCGAGATACTTGAAAGTGGGGAAGTTTGAAGGTGGTAGAATGTTCTGGGGTTTGACCTAAGATGTGGTAATAGATGAGTCAAAGCCAGTTCCCCATCCTTAAAGAACCTATGAATATTCATCAAGCAACCTGCCTAACATATCCAAATCTATATAATACCCCTGGCTGTGCACGGATTAGGGGCGGTAATAAGTTCTAATAAATAAGTTGATAAACAGGCATTTCTTACTTGTTGGCTAAGCACTTGTGTGACTCATGGCGCAACACACTTGTTTGGAAGTCAATCGCGGGAAAAAGCGCCCCGCAGAGAACGAGCCCGAAGGGGACCAACCTTTGGCTAAAAGATTTGGACAGTTGCACATCAGTATGTGGTTATGAACTATCTGTTGTCCTTTTCTTTCCTGCTATATTCTGTGGGTATTTCAGGATCTAATAGTATTTATCCTAGATTCTATAACATCCAGCAACATGCTTAGTAATCATGATAGCCTTCCTGCATCTGAGATGATGTTGTTGGATGATACAAAGCACACAGTTTATATACATGATCTGGCTAAGGAGTTGGCCAATTCTGAGCCAACAGACTATTCCGTTGAAATCCTACCAGGAATTATGGATGACATTGTAACAATTCCGCAACTTTTGGTGACAAGGCCTGAGCCTCAGTGCAAAGATCTTGTCCTTTACACAGAACCTTCATCATTGTTGGTTCCAAGGGTGGAGGGGGGTATGCAGAAAGCTGTAATGGCTACGAGGGAGTATGATGGGGAATCTCAATATACACGCTGTAGCTCGCTTCAAAGCAGGCACAGCTATCCAGCTGTAATTGGGGACAAGGACACCAGTGATATGATTCAGGGCTTGAATAATGGTGGTGGTGACGTGATGGAAGTTGATGTCAATTGCTAAGTTATGAAACAAATACTTCCACTGTCTTCGTCTAACTTTCATCCTTTATTGTTCAATATGGTATTGTCAGGGATATTCAGCAAGCCAATCCATCCACATATCTTTACTTATGTTTTCTGCTATGTAGTTCGATGTTGAAGTGGGGATTCCTAGGTATAGTGTTATTGGGGCTTCCCACATGAAGCCCTGTATATGTGAAACTCTGCCTGGGGTATTATATCATTGCTTCTATAATATCAATAAGTTATATAATTTATAATAATAAGTGTATATTATAATACAGGAATCTCTGTATAATAGAATTTTAATAATTTTATTGTTAATCTATAATATTTTAATCTTAGTTTAAGCTAGTTTTCTAATACTTAATATTAGCTTTTTAGAAAAAAAGCTTGTAATTAAATATTCTATTGTTGATACAACAATGCATGATTTACTTGCTTTGATAGGATTTCTTGATAAAGATGGACTTGATTGATTAGACTACAAAGTATCAAGCAGAAAGCAGGCTAACTGTAAGGACAGTAATCCTTATAATACTCGCGAGAGATATAATTATTTTCTGTTAATTATCTGATCACTGATAGTAAATATAATTTATAAATGTTAGGGGAATAATTAAATTAAACTAATCCAATGATTAACTGTTGATACAGAAGAAATTAATAAAAAAGAAAAAAAGAAAAAATAATAATAATATTTAAATTATATTTTTTTCTCTTTTCTTATATAGCACTATCTCTTATTTTATTTAATTATTTATTTAATTATAGTATACTGAATAGAATATTTATATAGATATTATTAAGTCTTTAAAATTTAAAGAATTTATATAAGAATTCTATAATAGTATTTTTCTTTTTATTATATATATATTTATCTTATTTATAAATAGCTTTAAGATTTCTGATTTATATATTATTTTTATTATATAAAATCTTTTTTTTATATAAATAATAATTCTTTAATTTTTTTATTATCTTTGAATATAGTTCTATAAATAATCTAATATTTTTATATTATTTTTATTTTTATTTTTTTATATATTAATATAACTTCTTTCTGATTTTTATAATTATAATTAAAAAATTAAAGTTTAAAAATATTTTGTTTATATTTTTTATATATTTTTTATATAATTTTACTAAATCTGTCTAGACTAGTTTATATATTAATAAATTTATTATATTTATCTGCAAGTTTTTATAATAAATAAGCAAGTATATAATTATATATTTTATAATTTAAAAAAATAAAATCTCTGTTAATTATATTATATTAATTTATAAAAAAAATTTAAAAGTTTTTTTATATAAATTTAGTATTTATATTAGCTCGCTGTCTATTATATAAATAAATATTTATTTTTAAATCTTATATAAATATTATTAATATATATTAAAAATCTTTTTTTATTAACTAAGAATTATATATTTTTTATATATTAATATTATTCTTATTACTTTCTGTGGCTTGCTGTAATTTATCTTATATATTAATAATATCTGTTCTGTTTTCTTTGAAGATATTTAATTATTTAAATACTAAAATAAATACTATAATAAATATAAAGAAAAGAATTATAAAATTTATTATATATATATTAATAAAAATAAAATATAATATTAATCTGTTAATACTGCATCGCTTTTTTATCATTATTAAAAAATTAAAAAACTAAAAAATATTAAATAAAAAGATTTTTCTATATATTCTATTTATTATCTTTTTATTTTTTTATATAAAAAATAAAGTTTTATTAATTAAGAGATATTATCAGTAATTATTCAGAGAAAATTTTTTAATTGAATAATATTATTAATTAATTATCCGAAAATCTAAAAATCATTCTTAATTTTTAATTAATTATTGAAAGCTTTAATTTCTTATAGAGCAGAGACTAACTCTTAAATTATATAAATATATTCAGTTTATTTAAGCTTATATTAAAGTTATATTTTATAATCTTTTTTATTATAAATTCTTTTTTATTATTGATTATTAGTCCTGATAGTTATATATTATTTAATTCTTAAAATAAAAATGAATCTAATAATATAAAATAAAGAAGATCTATATAAAAGATTAAGTAAATATTTATAGATATATTTAGTTATATAATATAAGAATTAATTATTTTTATAATTATATATTTTATATTTTTTAGTTAAGTTTCTTATTAAATTAATTTATATAGATATTCTTTATATTCAGCTATATTTTTTTTATATTTAAATACTAAATCTCTTTATTAATTTACTTGTTTTTTATCTATTTTTATATATAAATTATTAATATTTATACTTATTCTTAAATCTTTTTAATAATTTATATAATAACTTCTTTTTATTAAATTGGACTTTGTATTAATTTATTTATTAAAAATTCTTAATCTTTAGTTAATAAAAATAGTATAAGATAATATTTATAATTTATTAAAAAAAGCTTATTTTAATAAATAAGAATATATAATTATTTAAGATTAGCTTTTTTAGAGATAGTAGTTATTTTTAATTAATTTAATTATATAGAATATAAGTATAAATATATATATTAACTATATTATTTATTTATTCTATAACTCTGTCTGTCTTTAAATAATAGATTATAAAAAACTCTTATTAAATTTTTATTAATTAATATACTTACTTTTATATTTTATTTATAAATTATATTTCTTAATTAGATATAATAGATCTTAAGATTCTATTATTTTTTATAAATAATTATATAATAATTTATATAACTATTTCTTAATTAATCTTTGTTATAGGTTTTAAAATTATATTTTTTAAAAATTAATCTATTATTATTAGAATATTTGAATAGTTTTTACTTTTTAATAAATTATTAATAAAATTTATAATAATATTTTTCTATACTTAATTAAATATAGCTAATAATTTTAATAATTGTTTTTTTTTTAGATTTTTATATATTTATAAATATTATAATTTTTTATAAATCTTTATATATCTTTTAATATTATAGATCAAAGGTATTATTGACTAAGTGGAATATATATTATTTTATAGTCAGAATATTCTGATAATATTAAGTTATAAATATATTAAATAATATTTATATAAAAGAATTTAAAATTCAGAATCTTTTTTCTTTTCTAAAAATAAATATATTTTTTATTTGTTAATATATATTTAGTAATAAATACTTTATAATCTAGCTAAGATAAAAGTTTTCTTTATTCTGAAATTAATATCCTAACTATTTTTGAATATAAATTATTATTTTAAATCTTGTTTCAGCTTTTTATATCAGTATATAATATCTATTTTAATCTATTTATAATTTTTATAAAGATAGATAGAATAATAGCTATATTAATTAATTTATTTATTCTAATTTCTACTTCTATAAATTAATTTAAAATTAAATTAATTTAAAAATAGAAATTATTATATATATTACTTAATTAATTTTCTTATAAAAAAGAAATACTTTAGATTTTTATAATTAATCATTATATAAAAGTTTTATATTAATTATAATTTAATATTTTTTTATTTAAGATTTTATATAATAATAAAAGGTTTTTTATTATAGATTAAATAATTATATTTTATTAATATATTCTATTTTAAGAAGTATATATAAGATTATAATATATAATTATTATTATATTATAAAAGAACTTCTTCTATATTATAACTAGATAAATCTATTTTTATAATTATTATATATTTAGATTAAAATAGAATTAGAATTAGACTAGAAAAAGATATATTTTTTAATTTATTAAAAACTATCTAATAATCTAATATCTATCTAAAGATTATATTTTTTTATATTAATTAATTTAAAGATTATATTAACTCTGAAAAATCTTTAATAAATTATTTATAAAAATTATATAAAAATTTCTGGATTTTATCAGTTTTTATAAATAATTATAAGAGTGCGTGTTGAGGTAGTATAAAGAAAGAATATCTATCACAAAGTCAAGATAGTATCTGTATTACTTAAAGTATTATTATTAGTTTTTTATCCAACTTCTCTTATAAATAGATATATTTATAAGAATTCTATAAATTATATACTATACTAGTATAATTACTTTGTAAGAGATTATTTTTATAGTCTAAATATTTCTTATAATATATTATATTATAAGAATTATAAGAATTATTATTTTTATAATTATTTTTTTTTCTAGAATCTTGATCTCTAAGATTATTATTTATAAAAAATTAGATATTATTAAAATTTCTGCTGTAAAATCTTCTTTATAAGAAAATTAATTTAAAAAAAAATCTTTTTATTTTATAATATTTATTTTATATAAGCCTACCGCAGCTATTTTATATAACTATAATTATATTATTATTTACTATATTTTAAATCTCTGTAATTATAATTAAATAATAAATATTATAAATAATAAATATAGCAAGTATTTCTATAATTATAATTAAATAATAAATATAATATAATATTTTTAATTTAAATATAAATCAGAACTTAAGACTTAGAGCTTAAAATTTTAAAAAAGAATATTTTTTTTAAATTTTCTTTTTCTCTTAATTCTCTTTATTTTTTATTTTTTTTTTCTTTTAATCTCTGCAGTCCTTCTCTTCTAATTATTATTATTATTATAAATAAATATTTATTTAAAGAATTCTTATAATTATTTTATATTCTTGCGGCTATTTTATACTCTTATAGCTGTTTTATATTTTTATAACTATTTTATATTTTTATAGTTCTTTTATATTTTTACAGCTGTTTTATATTTTTATAATTTTTTTATATTTTTACAGCTTATTTTGCTCTTATAAATCTAAAGTATTTATATTAGATTATAAAATATAATACTTTATAATCTTATATTAACTACAGATATTTATTATTTTATAAATTTAGAATATATATACTCTATTTTAAAAATTATAATTAATTATTTTAATATTTTTTTTATATTATATATCTGCTGTTTTGTTTTATAAAAAAATTATTACTTTTATTATTAGACTTTTATTTTTTTTTATTTTTTTTTTCTCTTTTTCTTCTTGTAAATATTTATAATTATAATTATCTATATTTATAAGTATCAGTATTCTTATAATTATTTATATTTTATAATTATTT